GCTTTCCTGGTCAAGTTGCAGGAATTGGCGCCAGAACTGCTGCCTTTCGTGCGCATGTTCTATGGTCGTCCCTCCACCTATAGCTGGTGGGACGCGGCCGGGCGCAGGCGTGATGTCCACCAGGCCGAGGGCTGCGAGCAGGGCGACCCGTTGGCCCCCGCGTTATTTGCCTTGGGGCAACACGGTGCTCTCGCACGGGCAGCCGGCGACCTCAATCCAGCCGACAAGCTGCTGGCATTCCTTGATGACCTCTACGTCATCACGGTGGCGTCAAGAGCACGTCTGGCACTCGACACGGTGACCGGGCCAGTGGAGGCGCATTGTGGCATTGCATCCAATCTTGGCAAAACTCGAGGGCCCGGACTCGGAGGCTCGGAGGGGCCTGCTCCGCCGGGCCTGGCTGAGCTTGGCCCCGACGTGTGGAGGGGGGACCGGCCCTCGCACGAGCGAGGCATGGCTGTGCTGGGCTCCCCAGTAAGCCACACGGATTTCGTGCATGCCTGGGCGGAGCACCGGCTGCTCGAAGAGCAACAACTCCTGCAGCAACTGCCCCAGCTCCCTGACCTGCAATGTTCATGGTTGCTGCTCGCGCTCTGCGCGTCTCCGCGCGCGAACCACGCGCTACGCACGGTGCCCCCAGCCGCCATTGCCTCGTATGGCCGCAGGCCACGACGATGCCATCTGGCACACGCTACTGGACTGCTTGGGCGGCGAGGCAGGGGCCCCACCAGGGGATGCGCACCTCGCGCGGGCGACCGCTTTCCTGCCGGCAGCGTTAGGTGGCTTAGGTCTGCAGTCGGCGACGCGCTCGGCGCCGGCGGCTTACTGGGCAGCCTGGGCGGACGCCTTGCCAGTCATGGGGGCCAGGCTCCCGGTTTTTGGGGCGCACTGCGTCGAAACACTCCAGCGGGGAGGGGCCGAAATGGCGTGCTCAGCTGGGCGATTGGCCGCATGGATGGCAGCAACATGCATCGCGCACTCGGAACTTGTACTTTCGCGACCGTGTGCTGCTGCCGTCATTGCCGCCTGCTCGTCGAGCAGTGTTACGGTCCCAATCTGGTCCCCATGCCGGCGCGTGGCTGTCGGCGATTCCCGGTGACGCAAACCGGCTGCCGCTGCGGGCATAGCTACAGCCCGGGTAGTTTAGGAACAGCTTAGCTGACCGAACGGAGCAGCAGGTGTAAAAGTCCGAGAAAAAACATTCTGACTGTGAGTATTTTGGAATTTTTCAGCATGCTTATCAGGCACTGGAAGTGAACTGAGCGCATCTCCCGCCGTCCTCCAAGTTTGGGAAGGGGAAGTGTAGTCGCACAGGGTCTGAAAAATTCTTTTCCCGCCCGCCCGCCCGGGATGTCTAGGGACGCGCTCACTCGTCTTCGTGTGATGCGTGTTCTTGGAGGCCCTGTGGGCTCATGATGGCTCATGGATTTGTCCCGACTTGTGGCTGTGCCATCAAGGAAGAAAAGAGCGCTTGAGTCCTCAAACATGCATGACTTTGTTTTTCTATATGAGCCTTTTGAGATCACGATTGGATACCATTTTATGAGGATGAAGTTTGAATATGCTTCCCTGCGGTGATTAATTTCCTTTGAGTTTCTCACCCTTTTCGGAAAGTTGCGATGGCTATAATGCGTGCTGCTGCCCTCCCTGACGCCCAGCCGCCAGGCCTTGCTGCGCCCCCAGGCCGGACCCCAACTGGACGTAGTTCGTGGTCTGATGTAGCTCATGTGCCAAGATGGCCGTCAACAAGACATGATTTGGTACAGTTTGACACGGCCTCGCACATTAATGAGCTCGTGTTTCGCTTCCGCGAGTGGGCAGAGCAACGCCATGCGCAGATCAGCCCACTTGCGGATGTTGTGCGGGCGGCCACGGCCCATCAGGAGGGACACTACGCCCTCGCGCAATGGGTCGACGGCCTTCGGCACCCACCTGCCCCTCCGGCGCAGGAGCGGCACGATCGCGCCTCTGAGCAAGCGCTGCCCGTGCCAGCGGCGATGCGGCCACCGAGCCCAGTCATGCCTGAAACCGAGGAGCTCGCGTCGCCGCGCGCGCGGCTGGTTCACAGGCCCGCGGCCGAGGCCGACGTGGGGGGCGAGGGCGCGGGCGCGGGCGCGGGGCAGATGCTGAGGCTGAGTGTGCGTCCGAGCCATGTGCCACCGATGCGCCTGCGCGATCCCGAGCAGCACTGCCGCGCTGCGCCGCGTTGCTGCAGCGGAGGAGGGTTTGCGTGTTGGCCTCGCCTCTCTGGACGGCATCAACCTCGAGGCAACCCTCCGGAGCCGTGTCCTCATTATACCCGCTTGCGAGGCGCCCTCCGCACGGCCATGCGAGCAGGCCTGGAACTGATCGCACGTCGCCTCAGCTGGAGCTCCGCGTGTCGGGCGCAATGTTGCCTTGTTGGCCATGAACCTCGACGTGCCTGTCCACGACGCACGCCACATCGAAGTCGTGTGCAACGGCCTCAACTTGTGGCACGGCGCGCAGCTCGCGGTCGATGCGAGGGGCTGCCGCCAGCCGGGGCGGCCACCCACCCTGGCAGTGCCTGCCGCAACGCGGCGCGCCGCAAGCGGCAGCAAATTTATCCCCCGAACTTGATCGCAGCCGTCGATGCCGACTCGTCGTTTTCGGGCTGGAAGTCGGGGGGCGCTGGAACTCTGAGGCTGCCACCTTCGTTCGCCTCCTAGCTCGTGCGCGGCGGCCGGCACCCCCGCGGCCCGCCGCGTTGAGGCCTTCTGCCCAGGCTGCGTGGGTCCTCCGGTGGAGTGGCATCATCTCCACTGCGCAGAGCGCGGTTGCGGCTACCTTCCTCGAGCTCCCCGTCCCGTCTGAGCCCTGTGCTGCTGGCCCACCCCCAGCCTTGCACGAGCCGCTCGCTGGAGGCCCCGCACCGAGCCGAGCCGTCTGCCCAGCCGGGCCTATAGGTCCCTGCCCCGGGCCCCCGTGACTCGACCACACTGACTGCTGCGGAGTCAAGGGTTCTTTTTTCGTGTCCAGATCCAGACTCATCTTCGGACCCATCGCGTCCAATGCTGAGTTCCAGAAACTTTTGGTCGTGCGCACTCAGTTTGTCACCATACTCAGCCATGACATCACTGACCTGAGAAGCTGCATCCTTCATCGAGTCTACAGTTCCACCAAGTGCGTCGTCCACTTGGCACAGTGATGCTTGCAGGCCTTGCGCCATTTCATTAAGAATGTCCCTCTTCGTGTTTACATCATTTGCTTCAAATGATGTATTCGCCCTTGACTGCACACCTCCTCAAGCTGACCAATACGCTTAGACATCTCAGAAAACTTGCTAGCAGCCTGTTTCCACAGCATATCCGACTTTTGTAGCGAAAGGCCAACGTTTCCCAGATCAGCTTTCACTGCTTCTGCCTCACCAGCGAGAGATTTGACGCAAGTTGCTAGATGCTCTGTCCGACGTCCGATATTGCACGTTAGGCCCCAACTCCTCAAGCCTCCTCTGCACATCCTCTGGTCCTCTAGTGATGACAAAGTGGTCTGAGTAGCCACGTGCTCTGAGTGCAGCATATTCAAGAATTCTGCCGGCGCCCGCACTGGCAACAGCTGCTGTTATTTGAAACCTGAAGGGGTGCTGAGCAGACATAGCATACCTCCAGTTCACAAGTGGATCCGGTCCACTGCCAAACACCTGGTCTGCTTGGGCTTCTGCTGGAGCTCTGCTCGGGTTCGTAGTTGGGCTAGTCATAGCCTGTGATTGTGTGCTTGGTTGTTCTGGGCGGCCTTCTGGGCTCAAGCCCCTCTCCGTGACTATGCTATAGTAGGCAGGACTCATCTGCAGCTGCTGTTGCCGTTGCTGTTGCCGTTGCCGTTGCCGTTGCCGTTGCCGTTGCCGTTGCTGTTGCTGTTGCTGTTGCTGCTGCTGCTGCTGCTGCTGCTGTTTGAATCACTCGCCAAGCGAGGACATCAGTCTCACTCCAAGCTCGGATTCTCTCCCGCTGCGTGTGAATGAATGCTGTTTGAACTGGTGAGGAACATCATCAAGAGAAGAGTACGGGAGCATCACCAGACTTGTTGATGCTTCCCAGGGCTAAGCCGCTGAGCAGACCCCCCAGACTCAACATCCTCACCAACCCAGACAGCCTCATCACTCGAGTCACTTCTCGATTTTTCTGTGTCATCTTGAGCCAGATGTAGTGGCGATGCTTATCTTCTCAAGTATCGATCCTGCAAAAGCAAAGGGTCATCCTTGCGCAGGGGTCATGTAGCAATCAGTCTTGCCACGTTCTTCAACTGATCTTGCCAGCAGCTGTCTATGTCTCTACAAACACGCCCTTTATGGCGAATCAAGACCTCGCTGAATTTGTTGACGTTCATGATGTGGGCTGTTGCCACGCAGTTTTTTCCGATGTCTCGGGCGAAGCGGACCCAGTGCTGCAGGCCAAGGAGCCGGGTCGTTTGCTCACGAAATGGCTTAGGGCATGCGGTTTGCGAGGGGTGGGCAAGGGGAGTATGTCGCAGACTGCCGGAGCTCAGGGTAGGTGCGTTCTTCGCTTTGCGTGCCCACGGCGATGCTGTCCACAGCTATGAAGCGATCATTTTGCGCTGATCGTGGCAAAGGTCTCGCACTCGAAAATGCGTACCTTGCGAATCCTTGCGATTTGCTTTTTTGTCTGCTCATTTCTGTTTTTGCTCGCCTCTTTTCCGCCTGCATGGTCCCGCTGCGCTATACGATGCCATTTGCAATCTGAATTGAAACAGACAACCTGTGCCGAAACTGCGCGGTCAACGTCAGCACAACCAGCACAATCATGGGGCATAAAATGTCATAAAATGAGGCGACTCCCCACACTGGGTGAAGCATCCTGGTACAGCAGCACCCCCCCCATGCGATAACAACTGGAGGCACTGATGGGATATGATGGGATGACATGGAAATTTTTAGCGTTTCAGCCCGCTTCAAATACCTCACTTCACGACCCCTGGTGGTTGATCATCCGGCAATGCCGCCTCGGCACGTTGCCACCTTTCAG